ATGATAAATCGGCTTAGATATTATAGTCAAGAAGAATTTTGTTGGTTTTTATCTATTTTATAAATAAATTTAATTTCTTGTTTTTGTATAAAACGAACAAAACTTCAAACAAAAAAAAAACAGGATTCAAAAAATACTATATGCATCAAAATTTTCTTCAGACTTGAACTCGATTAGTAAAAATTTTAATATTCGGACCCGACTGATTCTATTCACAGATAATGATTAGCGAAAACATTCATTTTTTTGGTTCCAGTTCCTACTAGTGAATTAGTAGTTTTATATGCAATAGCATTTCATAAGAAGGAGATAGAGAGCTATGGTTTTCATTACTCGAAAGAGGTTGTGTCATTGCATGATTAAATAATGTTGATAGATGAATGCAATTATTAATGAAATATTGTTCAATCCATCTTTGGACAACTCTTTAAAAAGAAAACTTTTTATTTAATTTGATTTTTACATTCATTTCTTAAGTCATCAATTAAGAGCAAATATAAAAATGAATGACATTAGAAAGAGAAAAACAAAATATATATTTGTTTTAGTTTTTTTTTTATATAATCAAATATATGAAAATGTTTTATAATCATTAGAAATAAGTAATTAAATTAACTCAAGAATAATAAGTATATAGAGTTTATACTTAATCGTCAATGTTAAGGCATTAAATATAAAAGCTAGTTTTTTTTTTCTATTATTATTCGTTAATCATTTTAACCTATTGAATAAAAGACAAAATAATAAAAACCTTATTTTTCTATTGTAGAATATCTATAAAATAAAAATAATATTTAATATATACCTTTGAAAACTTTGTTTAAGATAGGACATATCTTCTTCATCAACACCATGATCAAGTTCATACATAATTCGCATTTCATCATCATGTACACGTGATAGAAATTTTGGTGTTGGAGGAATTATAATTGGAACTTGAATACCCATATCATGTAAACCATCGATAGTTAATCGATGAGCTACTGGTACTGGTTGTTTAGCCATAATAGCATAATTATGTTCAAATTCAATATAAGCAAATGGATTATAAGATTTTATTGGTAATGTTCGTACTTGTTCTGAAAAATTATCTAATAAATTAAATGTTTGAGTTGGTTGTATATCTGAATTATTTGTATTTGTCAGTTGATTAAGATTTGTTGCACTAAATAAATAAATTAAAATTTAATGATTGGATTAAACAAAAAAAAAAACTATTCGAAAATCTCTTTTAGTATATGTATTGTTGTATAATTATGTGTCTATTTTTTGTTATTAATTTTTACCTTTTCTTTCTTTTTGCTAATGTACTATTATCAATATCATCTTGTTCTTGTATTGGTTCATTTTTAATTTGTTCTATTTTTCGTTTTTTTGTTGATCCAGATTTTTTATTCTGTTTGACAATGTTTTTATTTGGAATTTTTTTTATTGGTGATATTAGTGGTGGTGGTGTTGGTGGTCGTGTGAGTAATGGTTCGGGTTGTGATGTAATTTCTATTTGAGCTGAATTATTTTGTTCTTCTTCATTATCATCATCTTTAATTTCTCCTTCTTCTTCTTCAAGAGTTGGTTGATCAATAGTAGATTTATTATTTGTTTTTGTATCTAATAATGATATATCATCATGTGGTATTGATATTGAATCTCGACTTTGACTATCATCATTTTCAGGTGTTATATTTGAATCACTACTACTAGAACTTAAACCTAAAATAAAATTTAATAACAAAAAAAAGTTTTTTTTTTTTTATAAAAATTTACGTTTTTGTGATATTTTTCGTGATCGTTGTTGTTGTTGTTGTTGTGGTTCTTTATTTTCAATTGGTTTTTGTGGAAGAAGTGGTTTTTCATTTGGAATGATTCGTTTCTAAATAAAATAAAAAATGAAATTTTCAATTTCATTTTTATAAATTACTTTAAATGAAGGTATTTTTGGTATTTGTGATAGTATAGATGAACCAATACTATCTTTCATATGTTCAAAATATGTTGATGATGATGAAGAAGAATTATTATGTGATTGTATTATCATTGGACTAGATGTTTCATCTGGTGTTCGTTCTAATGATGAATTTGATATTGAATGATGTAATAAATTTGACTGTTCATTATTTAATAATATTTGTTCATGTATAGAATTTTCTGATGATTTTATTTTTCTTATTTTATCTTTTCTTTCTTCATTATCATACCATGTTTCAATTGATTTATAAACTAATGTTTCAATTAATTTTTTTGATAAATCTTTTCGAAGTATTTCAACTAATTCTCCTGTTACTATATTTGATACAGCTGTTGTTAAATCATTTGTTTTTCTTTCACGTTCATCATTATTATCATTTAGATGTGGTTGAAGACCATTTGATGTATTATATGATGGATTATTATTTGTTGTTGTTGTTGATGATGGTGGTGGTGGTGGTGGTGGTGGTTGTTTAAACATATCTTGCCAATTTGTTCCACCAGTTGAATTTAAAAATGATGCTGGTGGAAATGAATTACCAAAAAAATTAAAATTATTAACAACACCATAAGATTGTTGATGATGATGATGACTACCAACAACATTTGTTAATGGTGTTGGTAATGGTGGTGGTGGATAAGAAAAAAGTGTTTGAAGTTGAGCATTTGGTAATGGTAATGGACGATGATGAGGTTTAGTTGGTATAGATGTTGGAACAGTTGTTTGTTGTTGTTGTTGAAACAAAGCTGCTATACGTTCATCTAAACTTGGTCGATGATCTTCATCATCATTTTGTTGTTTAGTATTATTTATTATTCGAGAATCATTTGTTAATTTATGATTTGGACTATGATTTGATGAATAACTTGAATGTGATCTTGATCTTGATGATGATGAATATGATTTTGATGTTGAACTTGAACTTGTGGATGTTGTTGATGATGATGATGATGAACGTGATGTTGATGATGATGTTGTACTACTACTAGTTTTTCGTCGTCGTCGATGTTGTTGAGAATATGGACGACGATGATGTGATCGATGACGAGATCGATGAGATGTTGATGATGATTTATAATTATTACTATTATTACCAAATGAACCATATGGATCAAATGAAAATTGTTCTGAATTATCATTAACGGAATGATGACCACGTGAATCATATCGAGATGATGTTGATGAATCTAAATTATTAAATTTTTATTTTATTAAATCATATAAATAAAACAAAAGGAATAAGTTAGATTGTTATAATTTCAAACATTATGTTTGACTACGATTAAAATTAATTATCTATTATTCTCTTTTATTTTTTCTTATTAGTACATAATCTAATCTTTTTTCAATTAATTGAAAACTTTTAAGCAAAACAAAAAATATTATTATACAAGAGCATTTAAGTAAACTCAGCATTAATACTTTTATATTGATATGTTTTAGAATAATTTCCATTTGTACGTTGATTATTTCGTTTGAATGATGAAACTGAAAACATATATATATGTTTACTCTAACGTGTATATATTCAACAAAAAGAAAAAAAAAACGATATTTTCTTATTTATTAAAATTTACTAACATTTTGTTGTACGATAATGATTTTGTGTTGAATATAAATTTGATGATTGAGAATAATGATTTGTTACTTTATGATTAATAGGTAATTGTACAGATTTATCTGTTTGTTTATTATTAAGATTTAAATCATTTAATTGTGGTGGTGGTGGTGATGCAGCAGCTGATGCTGCTAATGCTTTTTCTTGTGCAACTTTTTCTTGTTCTTGTGCACGTATCATAGTTGCATACTGTTTTGTACGTTCTTGTCCAGATGTTTCTAATGATACAGATATAATACTACCCATTTTTGTTGTCATATTTAATGCATTAACACATTCACGTGCAGATTTTGTTGTTTTAAAAATTACCTAATTTTTTTTTTTTTATTTTGAAAAATAAAATAAAATAATCAAAAAGCCAAAATCTTACTGTTCCTAATCCAAGATGTTTTTTAGTTTGTCGATCATAATATATTCTACAATCATCAATTTCACCAAAACGTTTACACATATCAGTTAAATATATTTTTGTTATATTATCATTTAAATTTCGAAATGTTACTTCTTTAGCTGGTATTGTACCAACCCAACAACGATCAAGCTAAATACAAATATTCTATTATTTCTTATATATATATATATAAGAAATTACTTTAAATTTTGGTACAGGTAAATCATAATATGATCGATCATATCTTGTTATATCACGTGGATCTGGACATCCGGAAACATGAAGTGGTGTCTTTAAAAAAAAAATCAAGATTCATATTTTTTGTGTATAAATTTTAATTAATTTACTCCTTCAAAATCTCCATTTGCATATAATCGTTTTTCTGCTGGATGAATTGCACTAAATAATATATAATAAAAATTGAATTTCTCTATTTTTTTGTACATACGGATCTCCTGCATAAAATCGATAATTTCGTCGTTTTTCATTCATAGGTATTTGAGATATTGAACGATTTATTGTTTCTATTGTTGATTTATTTAATGAAGTTGATGTTGATGAAGTAACTAATATTTATAATAAAGAAAAAAAAGTATTACAATAAAATATAATATTATATTTTACCATCGAACATATTCTTCATTCATAACCAAAAAAACACAAAAATAAAAAACAAAAAAAAAGGAGGAAAAATAAAATAAAATTTCGATTCACTCAATCTATCATAAAGACAATGTAGCAAATCACGAATGAAGATAAATTAGAGTTTTTTTTTTTTTTTCATCAACGACACAATCAGACAAACTATACAGAAAAAAAAAAATCTATATTCAACTTATTTATTGGCTTATGAAATATTAACATATTTATGCAGAAAAAAAAAAATACATATGACTGACATCTACATGTTTCTTTTTTTGTTGTATGACTAATAATTTATTAATAAATAATAAACATGTCATTTGGATAGAAAGACAACAAAAAAAAAAACAATAACAATCCTATTTGCATTGATTTTTTAAACGATGCCCGAATATGGAAGTGTCGTTTTAACATTAGGTAATGTTATATTACCATTAGATAAACTTTATCCAAGTCCAACACCTTCAATGAATGAAGGTTTACCTTATGATGTTGAATATGATTTAAGATTAATTGGTTGTGAACTTATACAAACAGCATGTTTATTATTAAGATTACCACAAGTAAATTTTTATAGATATTTAATAATAATAGAAATCAATCGGAGAGAGAATACTGATTGAAATTGTAGTTATAGAATTGTGGCGTATCCAGGATTTGAATTTCAGAACATAGGACTCATGTGAAACTTATAAAGATGTGATATTGGATTCAAATGATGAGTTTTTATAATGGAAGTTTGCGAAAAAAGTTAGCATTTTTCTGAGCCTGACTAAGATTTTTCTTTTTCTATTGGTAGTATATTGATTTTTAGAATTTAATAGTAAGCTACATCGAAATTCATCGATAGATTTCAAATTTTATTTAAAAATATGCATCCGTTCATGAGTTACAATGTTTTGAATTTTTTCTAAAATTTTAACAGCATACAGCAAATTTCCAAAACATTATAACTCGTGAATGGATGCATATTTTTAAATGAAATTTGAAATCTATCGATGAATTTCGATGTAGCTTACTATTAAATTCTAAAAATCAATATACTACCAATAGAAAAAGAAAAATCTTAGTCAGGCTCAGAAAAATGCTAACTTTTTTCGCAAACTTCCATTATAAAAACTCATCATTTGAATCCAATATCATATCTCTATAAGTTTCATCTGGATCCCATGCTCTGAAGGTAAAATCCTGTATACGCCACTAGTCTGAATATATTATCTAAAATTGTATCTTTTACTTTTTTCGGAAATGTAATAAGCTTGTAAAAGGATTACAAAATTGATATTTATTATTTGAGTTTATATTAGAAGATTTTAATACGATAAAGGAATATTTTCTTTTCGGTTTAAAATTTCAATTAGAAATACTATTATTTAGATAAAATTTAATTTCTTCTTTTTATTTTTAAAGACAGCCGTAGCTACAGGTCAAGTATTATTTCATCGATATTTTTATTCATCATCATTTATTCGTCGTCCAATGGAAATATTTGCAATGGCATGTACAAATCTTGCAGCTAAAATAGAAGAAAATGCACGACGAATACGTGATGTTATTAATGTATTTCATCATATAAAACAAATTCGATCGGGAAAGTATGTTTTTAAAATACAAAAAAAGATTTTTATTTTTATTTTTTTAATAGAACTATTCGTCCATTATTAATTGATCAAATATATATTGATCGTAAAAATGAAGTTATTAAAGCTGAAAGACGTTTACTTAAAGAACTTGGATTTTGTGTTTATGTTAAACATCCACATAAAGTAAATTTTTTAGTATTTTTTTTTTTTTTTTATTCTTATCTATTGTTTTTGTTTTTTTTCTAATAGATGATAACAGTGTATTTAAAAGTCCTAGAAAAAGAACGTGAAAAAAATCTTGTACAAACAGCTTGGTAGGTATTTTTGAATTTATTTTTGTTCAAGAACAAAAAAAAACTTTTAGGTTTTCTGATTTTCAAATGATATGATACAAAATAGAAATAGACTTGAGTATATCATATTTATTACTTTTTCTAATTTGCTGACTGATATCGAAATGTTTTCATATTTGAAATATAAAAAAAGAATTCTATTTAAATTTCAATACGAATATTTGTACAGAATGATATTTTACATTACTATAGAAATACGATTTGAAAACAAAAATTATTATGATAACATTGGTTTACTATTTATGAGTCATTCGATATATAAAATACGATTAATCAAAGAAAGTCCGTATGAATGTTGCATTCCGATTTCAATGATATTTAGTTATTTAATATCCTAATAAAAACTCTAAAAGGGTTCGAGTTCCTATATTTAAAGAGAACTCAATTCAAAAGGGAAAAAAATGAACATGTCGTACTTCAGCGTACTCCCTATACTTTCAGATTATATCATAATTGTGCATCAGATCTGTTTAGCTATTTCAAGTCTCCTATCGATCTGTATTGCGATATATTAGCTGAAGTCCAACCTGCGTAAATCTACTCACTGTACTCCTACTTTGAAAGTAAACTAAACAGATCTGATGCACAGTTATGACTTAGTCTGGACGTACGCTAAAGTATAGCATTTTTGTTTTTTTCTCTTTGACTTAATTATATTAGATTCATTCAAAAATTTTTGAATAAAATGTCTTTAGTTGAAGTTTTCAAATTTGATGATGAGTTTAAAAGAAAAAAAATCTTAATATTTTTTTTTTGTTTCTTTATTTAAATATAATTATTTTTTCTATTAGCAGCATATTCTATGATTAAAAATAAAGTATGAAAACAAAAAAAAAATCTGTTGGTTAATTTTAGTCTTTCTTTTCTTTTTTGATTCCCTAATGTATTTTAAATTTGAAATTAAAATATATTCAATAAAAAATGAATTTCTTGTCTTTCGTCCAGGATATATGGAAAAATGATGCGTATATAACCCGTTCATATGGTCGGAATATATACATACAACGTCGGGTCGTTTCTTCAACACTCGACTAATAATCAAGTATCGGTCGGTAATGTTTTTCTTTCTTTCTTTTTTTTTATTGATTTATTTATAAATTATATTTTCTTATTCATATATATGGGCTAAATCAACGAAAACGAAACATTCATCCGTTGTATTTAAATTCAATTCTCTATCAATATAGGTTTTTTTTGAGTAAATTGTTTTTGCATAGACATACAGTAAAACCTCCCTATAATGGACACTTATGAGACTTTTTGAAAGTGTCCACTATAGACAGGTTTGGTCTTTTCAAAAAGCGAAGTTTTTCGAAGAAGTGGGCGCATTTTCTAAGGATTTGAAGGATGTTAGTGAATAAGATAACTAACCAATGCTCACTATTACTTCTCTCCTCATGCATTTTTGTTCTTGAAATACAAAAAAAATCAACAATTGTTAGAATATAGAAAGACTCTTAGACTTCTCAAAAATGTCCAGTATCGGATAGTGTCCACTATGCAGAGGTTCAGTTCCAGTAAAAACCTCTCCGTCGGACGGCGGAGTGTCCACTATGGGAAGTTTTGCTGTATGTAAAATTGTCTACTCTTTTACATGGTTATAAATTAACTAATTAGGAATCACATCACTAACGCCGAATAAATTTTATTTTTTGAAAAATTTATACATGTTCAAAATAATTTTACATCGGAATTTGATAGCCTTAGAAGTCATGTCTAGTATCATGTATTAAGTTTTCGGCAATTGTGCAACACTTGGAAATTTTAAGAAATCTAAAGTATGTCAAATGACAGTTGATGTCCTTTTTGGCAGTGATTTATCTACTGAGTGGGTCGAGTGGGCGCTGCCCATCCGAAATTTTGATTCGCCCACTTGGGAAACGAAACCTAGATGAAACACTGATTTTTGGTGTCACGTTGCTAACGCTAGTTTTTTCCCTCTGAACAAAGCTCTAGAATGTTGATTAAATAGAGATTCGTACAACATACAAAAATCACAATATCACATTGCTAACGAATGATTTAGCTCATATATATGTATTCACTTTCTTTCTATTATTCTAGTTTTGTCTTGTTATGTTTAATTTTAATCTTAATTGAACAAAGCTGGTTGAACAAAAGGAAAAAAGAAAATTTTTTTATTTATATAATTTAATATCTATTTAATATTTTCTACTTTTTCTTTTTAGATTTATTTATATTATATTAAATTTTTTACTTATTTTTTCTTTTCCAGCTTTGTTCATTTTCTATTAAAACCAAACATAACAAACAAATACTATGAGATATTTGTTTTTTTTGTCTTCTTTCTTTACCGATATGCCGATACTTGATTTATTAGTTGTTGTTTTTTTCATAGAGACACACACAAAAAATACATATATATAGTTTTTCGTTTTTACTTTTGTAAATTTAAATTCGAATTTCTTTTTTTTTTCTCATTTAGGAATTATATGAATGATAGTTTACGTACAGATATTTTTCTACGTTTTACTCCTGAAACAATAGCTTGTGCATGTATTGATTTAGCAGCACGTACTCTTCAAGTAAAAAAACAAAAAGACTAAAATATATAGAAATAAAAAAAAAAAAGAATTTTATTTAAATAGATTTCATTACCAAAAAATCCTCCATGGTTTATTATATTTGGTGCAAAATTAGATGAAATTAATTATATAATGATAGCTATACTTCGTTTATATAAACATCGACCAGTAAGAAAATATTTAAAACAAAAATAAGATGTTTCTATTTGTGTTTTTGTATTAGAAATCACTTGATGAACTTGAAAAAATTGTTAATACAATTCGTGAAAAACGAGAAGATGATAGAAAAAAATTACGACTTGATATAAATCAACAAACAGAATTAGGTAATGATTCACCATTACAACAACAACAACAACAACCTGTTCAAAATTCAATATCATCAATAATAATAAATACAACAACAAATGTTATACAACAAAATAGTAACAAAAACACACACACACAAAATAATTCTTTCTTTTAAACTTTTGTTTTTTATAGTTCCGACTGTAATTACAACAACAGAAGAAATAATAAATGAAAAAATTATTAAAAAACAAGATAGAAGAAATTCAAAAGAATCATTAACAGTGAATATACATCGTCATTCTAAAAGAAAACAAAATAGTACAAGAAGCAGGTAAATTTAATATTTTTAACAAATAAAAATAATAAATTTATCTTATTTTTTTTTAGATCTTCATCTCAATCATCTTCACATTCATCAATTCATCGTTTACAAAAGAAAAAAAAAATTTCTCGTCGAAGTCGTTCAAAATCTCGGTATTATAAGAATTTAATTTTTTTTATTAAATTTCAATATTTTCTTTTTTTTTTTTTTTATAGTTCATCAACACCTAAAAAACGAAAACATCAAAAAGATAAACGACATCATAGTCGTTCATCAAATCATCGAAAACGAGATAAAAAACGACGATCACATTCATCATCATCATCAACTGAACAAAAGTAAAAAAATTTATTTATAAACATTTTTTATTTTTATTCTTTTAGTCGTTATTCTAAAATTAACAATAAACATCCACTATCAACTAAAGATATTAATCATAATCTTCATCAACGTTCTCATCATCATCATCATCATCATTCATCTAAATATTCAAATGGTGTTTATTCATCATCTCATAAAAAATTAAAAAACTAGTCAAACATTTATAAATGTACAGATAGTTAAAATGTTTTTTTGTTGTTTGTCATTTCACATAAGATTTTTGTTTCTCTTGCACTAAGAAGATAAAAAAAAACAACAACAACAAATAAATTTATTCAAAATAACTTTTTTTTTTTTCTTATAAATTTATTCGACAATTTTTGAAATAAAGCCTTGTAGATAGTTTGTATAAATAGTTAAGCAAAAAAAGAAACTAATAATAATAATAATAATAAATCATATTTGTTTATGTCATCATTAAATAATACAAAATTATATGAAGCAACAAAACGTTTGGAAAAACATTTAAAAGAACGTGAAAATGAATATATAATTAATAAACAATTTCATATTCTTATTGGAACATTTAATGTTAATAATCGACAATCACCATCAAATACTTTACTTGAAGAATGGTTTTGTCGTTTAACAGATCATAGTCATAAACAACATATTATACCAGATATAATAGCTATTGGTTTTCAAGAAATTGATACAAGTAGTGGAGCATATATATATGATGATAAAAGAAAAGAAGATGAATGGGAATTTATTGTACGAAAAACAATTAAACATTGTTATAAAATAAAAAATGATAACGAAAAATTTCAATTACTCAATCGTATTAGACTTATGGGTGAGTGTCAAAAACACATTCAATGATTTTTTTTTACTTGCAACAAAAAAAAATAAAGAAGAGAAAAAGATTTAAATTAAAACAAAAAAATAAATAATAGTTTTGATATTTATGCTTTATTCTTAAAGAAATCTATTGAACTAAGTTTCAGGTGAGCAAATAATTTTAATTTTTCTTCATGGCTTGTGCTTCTTTTCTAATTATAAAAATGCTAATCTTAGTTTACATCTCAAATGCTATTCAACATATAAACAAATTAAGATATTGAAATAAAACCAAATAAATAAATTATTTATATGTATCTAAATTTGTGATTATTTGTTAAATACTAACGAGAAAATGTTTCTAAATGTTACTTCACTTTCGACTCAAGACTATCTGTATCATGTAGAGTTTGTATACTTAACTTAAAACTGGTGACATATTACATCATTGCTAGAGATGATGAAGACGGGGAAAAGGTCAACAGTCATGATGACATCATTTTTTTTCTGACGAGGAACTGATGCCTGTCGTTAGAGCTCATATGGGGTTTACATATAAAATTTTCACTATGTACTGAAAAAAGAAAATAATGGAATTTCGACCTGAAATTATGCTCATAGATAGATCTGATGGCCTTGAGAATATTATGAAAGTTTGAGTCGAGTTGTTTATGGGTGAAATTTTATATTGAAATATGGTTATTTGATTTTTTGGTAAATACCTAAAACTGCATTGAAAATTGACTCAGAGGTCTTGTTTTTGATAACGATCGTTCATTTTGATTTATCTATTGATTGTATGTTTCTTACATTGAAATTTCTGTTCATCAAAATAACAAATCAATGAAGAAGAGATAAATTTTGCCTTCGGTAACAGATTTCAAACGCGATTACTTCATAAAGCATTAGAACGATCCTTTATTTAATTTTTGAGTCTACGGCAATCAGGCCATGTCAATTGGTGGTAAAATTGAAAAAAATTTCTTGACATGATACAAAAATAACTTAGAGAAATCCAGAAAATATCTAACAATCTATTCAAGGACAAAATACAATAGAGATGAATATAAATACGAATGTTTAGTATACTCTTCTAATTGAGTATGAAACCTTACACAGGAGTAAGTAGTAGTTACTTTGAAATCCTCTATATATGTTCTTTTTCTTATTTTCGAACTTTTATCTATTGTGATTTTCACTAATTGATAATGAATATAATTTTCATTTGTTCATATCTCAGAATAGAAGAAAACGAGAAAATTTGAAATCTTCACAAGTTCATTAGGACCTACATGATTCACATAATCTCGAGTCGAAAACAAATCACTACCTGGAAATATTCCTTTGTCCGAAGGTTCTTTTTTTTTGCAGTTGAACTTGAAATAATTTCCTTTCAGAAAGTTCTTTTCTTTCTTTGTTTTTATATATTCGTATAATTATTTTTAGGTATTTTACTATTTGTATATGTACGCGCTCCACATATGGACAAATGCACATCAGTATCTCGTGCATCAGTAGCAACTGGTTTTATGGGTATTGCAGGTAATAAAGGTGGTGTTGGTATTAGTTTTCGTTTTTATGAAACAAATATTTGCTTTATTAATTGTCATTTTGCATCGGGTGATGGACAAACACAACGACGTAATGAAGATTATCAAACAATAGAATCACGTATGACATTTACTGATGCACCTACTTATTCACTTAAAGATTATATTTGGTATACACCAACAACAGCTGGAAGTTCTGTTCCAAATACTCAAATTTCTTCTACTCCGACTCGATGGTTAGTATAAAATTTTAGAAAAATATTTCATTAAATTTTACTCAAATTAATAATAAATATAAAAAGAAAAATTCAATCGACGAAAAAATTTTCTTTCATAATCGAAGGGGGAAGGCTCATGGGGTTCGGGCTCCCATCAGGACTGAAGACGCTTGTAGAGGGGTAAAGGTATACGTTTTTTTCCCAGCAAATTTTTGTAATTTTTCCATGGTGGCCCACCCTCAGAAAATTTCTGGGTACGTGCCTGTGAATAGCCGTTGTATATTTATAAAGATATATTTTTGAGAGGTTTTGGATATTATAATTGACATAAGTAAATAGTTTGTATGAGATCATTGTGTTAGTCTGTTCAACTCATATAGATATGTATGTAGTTGAATACAACTTACTATTATATTAAAGTCATTAATTCGATAAATATTAAAACAAATAAAGGAATTAGTTTTTATCTATTGTAAGCAACTGTCCTAGTGTTGAACAGGACTAATTGTGTTTGGTCTTGAGTCTATTTTCGTGTTTAGTAATATATGTATTATTGAAAAATATGATATTATTTCTTAGCAATACATCTTACATGACTCCGCATGATTCTGTAATGTTCTTCCTTTTGAACATTGATTAATATTTTGTCTATTTCTACATATTTGATAGTTCTGTTGTTTACAAGAAATATAATCAATAATGTTTGTATATAAACGTTTCGAACACATGAACTGTAAGAAAATAATATTTTGATGAAAGACTTACACAATCAAAATTGATTTCACTCTAATTACAAAGTATTTGTCCTAAATCTCGCACTTGAACTATCTCGATTATATCTTCACGATCTATCTTCTATTATTAATTTATTAAAATTATTATCAATATTAACTTATAAACTTAATTAATTTTAGGTGGAAAATAAATGATCATGATATAGTATTTTGGTTTGGTGATATGAATTATCGAATATCACAAACAAATGAACAAGTTCGTAAAGCTTTAAATGAATTTTCAACAATTCCATTACATGAAAAAGATCAATTACGTTGTGAAATGAAATTAAATAATGTTTTTACTAATTATTCTGAACCACCAATTGATTTTATGCCAACATATAAATTTGATCCAAATACAGATGTATATGATACAAGTGATAAACTTCGTACACCATCATGGACAGATCGTATATTATATCATACAAAACGAACCATAATTCGTCATCATATAAATAATATAGAATTTCAATCTATTCAACCAATATATTATACATGTGCTAAAACGATTCGTTTTAGTGATCATCGTCCTGTTAGTGGTCTTTATTCCGTTGCAATTAAATATAAATATGATGATGAAAAATTAAATCGTATACGTGATGAATTAATACGTGAATTTGATCGTGAAGAAAATGATTCTATACCAACAATTGATATTCATCCACGTCCACCAGCAATTATATTTAATAATGTACGTTATTTAGATAAAGTTAATTATTCATTATTAATTAAAAATATTGGTGAATGTCCATGTACATTTTCAATTTATCCATCATCAGCATTTGAACCAACACGTCCAATAAAAATTAAAGAATTAAATGATGAACCATTTTTTGATTGTTTAATATTTACACCTAATCCACCATATATATTACAAATAAATGAAAAACAACATATTGATATTAGTTTTCAAATGAAAAGTCAATATTCATGGTTATTTGGAAAACAATTAAATGAAATTCTTATATTACATGTTGAAAATGGTGCTGATACATTTATAACATTAGATATAACACTTGATATGGGACCATTTGGTTTATCATTTAATCAATTTCCATTAACATTATATGATAGTGAACGAAAACAATATATTTATTCAATTGATAAAAAAAAATCAAATGAACGTATTATTGAAATGAAAAATGATCCACCATCATTATATATATCATTAATTGATTGTTTAAAAGAACGTAATGATATTAATTTATTTAATATATTTAATAATGATATTCAAGATTCAATTGATTTAATATCAATACGTAATCAAATATATGAACATAATTATAATTTCCAAAATTATTCAACTATTCATTTATTTATGATACTTTTACATTTATTACAATCATTACCTGAACCATTAATATCACGTGATATACAAGATAAAATTTTTTTAAGTAATAATAATAATAATAATACAAATATTCGTTCATATCAATTACCAAGTGGTATATCAATACAATCACATATACCAAATGAAAATTCATCTCAACAACAACAACAACAACATCAACAAAATATGACAAAAGCTGTTAGTTTTATTATTGAACAATTACAACCAAAACAAAGAAATTTATTTTTTCGTTTTCTTTTACTTTTACAAAAATCTTGGCCAACATCAGAACAATTAAAAAAACTTG